ATTCGGAGAAACCTTGAAGGTTTCCGACCTCTGACTGTCTCCAAGGCCAAGCCAGACAGCGAAGAGTTTTTCAAGGTCATCATGGGGTTTCCGGCACCCAAACCCAGAAACATTGAGAAAGATGTCAAGGTCTTTCCATGGAGAATTCTGACTCATGCCCTCAAGAAGATCATTGGCAAATATGTAAGCTCCATGAATATCCCCTGACTGATGTCTAAGATGTGCGCGGATGTGTGTGTATATGGCGTGCTAACAGACCAATCTCTAGTCGGCGAGTTATTCTTCGACCGCCGGAGCATTGTCAACCCCTATCGGCTCAACGTATGCGAGCACCCGGGCTGCCTCAGACTCCGGCACGGAACCTCACACTGCCCCATCTCCTCAATCTGTTTCCGATACCGCTGCTCCCAGCGCATATGGACCTCCACTGGCTGCTCCTGCATATTCCGCCCCTCTCGATCATGGTGGCCCTTCAATGACCGGCTCTTCCGAGATCCGACATGGCCTGCCTGCTATAAGCCAGTCCTACCACTCTATCACCACCCCTAGTTATTACTCTGCAGCTTGTCAACAGCCGAGCCAGGTCGGCGCGTCTGCACCGAGCACCCGGGCTTGGGAGATGAATTCCATGCTCAGCCCTCCACTCGCCAGTGGAGCTCCGAGCAGCACGCCCGTCTACAACTATATGCCGTATCCTGTCTCAGGTCCCCACGGGCATTAAGTTGCTGCCAACTGCAGTACATTTAGGGGCCGTGATTTGCATTGAATGGCGTTTCTTCCTTGAGTCGGACTTGATATACCATTTTATTCCCCTGCAATGTTTTTCTCATTGATTTTCTTACTCTTCTCGTCGTTCCTTTGGTTGAAACCCGGCGCATGGCTGATTTATCTCCCCATGAGGGTGCATGATCCCTGGATCGGGATTTACGGATATGCCTTCTGTTTGGATCCTCACTTCACTTACGATCACTGTCCATGATCTGATGTCCCTCCTTTAGAGTGTCTTAATGTCTTGATGCCCCCCCCCCTTATCTTTCTGCTGATCTATGCGCGATAGACGATCTGGTGTCTTACTTCTGCTTTTGTTCTCTTTTATTTCACATTGCATTTAGTCTGGGCATTGGGATCTCGCTCCTTTCTGAGTTGTACAACTATCTGGCATAGCATGGCGCCACTGTCATTCCTTTCATCATGCAGGGGCTGGGATGGGAAATGCTTGGAATTGATGTAACAGAACGCCCGGACTGGCGAAGGGTAAAAAGTGTGGAATTGGTTGTTTTCTCGATCTTCTGCGGTTCATTTCTTGATTGTTGTTTGGCCTGGCTCATGCTGTCTCCCGAACTGGGGCACCACATTGAGCTGGGTTGAGTACATATGCATAGCTTTGGCGTCTGTGTGAATGTCTATTATTGTAGCCTTTGTTTGTCGCCTTTCTTTTTCTCTCTATCTTACTCGGCACACCTATTCTAGGGTCATCCAGCACCCCAAATGACTTGATAGTTAGAGTCCCACTATTTAACGTATCTAATGTATTAGGCTTCATTCTCATCGCTACTATGACTGTTCTCATCGAAGCATGATTCTCCGATCATACTCTTGATGACTTTCCATTGCGCTGATCGGTGATCCTTTCACCTTCGACATGGGCTGAGACAGCCAAAATTGTAAGAGTGAGTGGAATACATACGACTATGGTACAATACCGTACTGGTTGCATACCCCGACAATACGACAATACCCGAGTGTTATCTTATCGCCACATCACCTGACCGGGCGGAACAATTAATCGAGGGGGATTTGACTTACTCCCCGACAGTGACTCAATCCTGTCTCTTCCAAGTTCCCCCTCCCCCTCCTAAGCTACATTCGAGGCCGTGCTGCCTGCTACCTCCTGATTAAACCCCTTTCAATTGTGGGCCGTTCACTCTGTCCTCCTTATCCTCTTATCCTATCCTTAAGCCCTTCCTTTTCCCGGGTCTTCAACCGCCACTCGTTCTTCCCCCATCCTCCGTCCCTCTCCGCGTTTCGGTTTTGCCCCTCCACCTCCCACATCATGGATGGAATCAAGAACGCGTTCGCTCGCGCCAAGCAGGAGAAGCGTGCTGCTTTGGTAGCCTACTTCACCGCCGGATACCCTACCATCGAAGAGACCGTTGATATCCTGTTGGGTCTGGAAAATGGTGGTGCTGGTAAGAGCTTGATGCTCCCCCCGCTTCCCGCTGGCTCCGATTGCGGACCGCTGACCTTTTGTTTGAATTGCGTCGATCACAGACATCATCGAGATGGGCGTGCCCTTCACCGACCCGATCGCAGATGGCCCGACCATCCAGAAGGCCAACACTCAGGCATTGGCCAACGGGGTCACGATTCCCTGGGTGTTGGACACCGTTCGCTCCGCCAGAAGTAAAGGCCTTCGCGCTCCCGTTCTGTTGATGGGTTACTACAACCCCCTCATGCAGTACGGTGAGGAGCGCATGCTCCAGGACTGCAAGGCCGCTGGGGTCAACGGTTTCATCATGGTCGATCTGCCTCCAGAGGAGGCCGTCCGCTTCCGTGACTTCTGCACTAGCTATGGGTAAAGAACTCCTGCACTGGTGTACCTATTTTTTTTTTTTTTCCCTTTTCCCACGCATACTGACAGTCTCCTGCCTCCTCAGCTTGTCATACGTCCCCCTCATCGCTCCCGCCACCTCCGAGTCTCGTATGAAGCTCCTCTGCAAGATCGCCGATTCCTTCATCTACGTCGTTTCCCGCATGGGTGTCACCGGTGCTACCGGATCCCTCAGCACGAACTTGCCCGACCTTCTGTCTCGTGTCCACACTTGGTCCGGTAATGTGCCCACCGCGCTCGGATTCGGAGTCAGCACCCGCGAGCACTTCCTTTCCGTCCAGAACATCTCGGAGGGTGTTGTGATTGGAAGCCAGATCATCACCGTCTTGGGTAACGCCCCTGCCGGCCAGGCGGCTAAGCATGCTCAAGAGTACCTGACCAGCGTCACTGGTCGCAGACTTGAGCGTGATGCTCAGGGTCAGGTTTCCGGGTCGGTCCACGTCTTGGAGCCTGTCTTGAAGGAGGATCCTCCGGCGCTCTCGCAGCCGACCGACGTCATCACCAACGATGACACCCCCGATGGCCCCGGCCTGGTCGACCAGATCGACGCTCTCAACGGCAGCGGCGACCCGTCCGCCATCCCCTCTCGCTTCGGTGAGTTCGGCGGTCAGTATGTTCCTGAGTCTCTGATGGACTGCTTGGCCGAGTTGGAGCGCGGATTCGAGATCGCCCGCAACGACCCCAAGTTCTGGGAGGAGTTCCGGTCGTACTACCCTTACATGGGCCGCCCCAGCAGCCTCCACCTGGCCAACCGCCTCACCGAGCACTGCGGCGGAGCCAACATCTGGTTGAAGCGTGAGGACCTCAACCACACCGGTAGCCACAAGATCAACAACGCCCTGGGCCAGATTCTCCTTGCGCGCCGCCTGGGCAAGACCAAGATCATCGCCGAGACCGGTGCCGGGCAGCACGGTGTGGCGACCGCGACGGTCTGCGCCAAGTTCGGCATGCAGTGCGTGGTCTACATGGGTGCCGAGGACGTGCGGCGCCAGGCGCTCAACGTGTTCCGGATGCGACTGCTCGGCGCGTCCGTCGTGGCCGTCGACGCCGGCAGCCGCACCCTGCGTGACGCGGTCAACGAGGCCCTGCGCGCATGGGTCGTCGACCTGGACACGACGCACTACATCATTGGCTCGGCCATCGGCCCCCACCCCTTCCCGACGATCGTGCGCACCTTCCAGTCAGTCATCGGCGACGAGACCAAGCAGCAGATGCAGGAGCTCATCGGCAAGCTTCCCGACGCGGTCGTCGCCTGCGTCGGCGGCGGCAGCAACGCCGTGGGCATGTTCTACCCCTTCTCCAACGACCCCTCGGTCAAGCTGCTGGGCGTCGAGGCCGGCGGTGACGGCGTCGACACGGACCGCCACTCGGCCACCCTCTCCGGCGGCAGCAAGGGCGTCTTCCACGGCGTCCGCACCTACGTCCTCCAGGACAAGCACGGCCAGATCTCCGAGACCCACTCCATCTCCGCCGGCCTCGACTACCCCGGCGTTGGCCCCGAGCTCAGCAACTGGAAGGACAGCGACCGCGCCAAGTTCGTCGCCGCCACCGACGCCGAGGCCCTGACCGGCTTCCGCGCCCTCGCCCAGCACGAGGGCATCATCCCCGCCCTCGAGTCCTCGCACGCCGTCTTCGGCGCCATGGAGCTGGCCAAGACCATGAAGAAGGGCGAGAACATCGTCCTCAACCTCAGCGGCAGAGGCGACAAGGATGTGCAGAGTGTGGCCGATGAGTTGCCGCGATTGGGGCCGAAGATCGGGTGGGACTTGAGATTTTAAATGTCGGGGAGTGAAGAAAGAAAAGTTTAAGCTTCGCCGGGGAAAACACCGAAGTTCGGTGCGTTTGGTCATTTGTTTTTTGTTGGAAGTAGAATTCAGGATATACCTTGACTCTTTTATACTTTTATACACAATGGAGACACTATCGTGTTTATTCCTTGTTTCCTGCTTGGCCGTCTGCATCTAAGGTGTATTGCGGTTCACGCGTGGACTGATTGTAGTTGTCAGCGGAGCAGTGCTATAGACATGCTGCCTTTATTCCAGATCCAGATCAGGTGGTGGGATAGCAGTATGTTCATCCACTCATATTATGTATGTACAGCACAGCACAGGACACAGTCCGCTCCCAGTGTGCTCTGCGCCTCTCTCTACGCTAGTCCCCTTTTTTTGTACAGCGCCACCAGGAACGAAATAAGGTATCACTTGCTTGATGCTTGACCCTGCCATGCTTGACCCGGTGACACACCACCCAAGATAACCCCGTGGCTCCGTTACCCCCCTCCCCCCCTTCCTTTGCCTCAGCCCACGAACCATACTATACAAAGATAAGCTCCTACACCAAAAGAGCACTAAAATGTAGCCGGGTTACCCAACCCCCCCTCCCCCTTTCATCATCCCTCTCCACATCCCAAGAGACACAACACCAAGCCCTGATATACTTACTGTACACTGTACATTGTACAATGTACAAAATGAGCCCCACAAAACCCCTAAGCACGGCGCTCATAGACTCTCCTTCCCGCAAACCAAGTCTCCAGCACCTCCGCGTCCAGCAACCGCCCGGCCTCCCAGGCCATCTCCAAGACCACAAAATCCGCGACCTTGCCGGGAGCCAATGAGCCGGTGCGGTCCTCATCGAAACACGAGTAGGCCGAGCCCGCCGTGGCGGCGACGACGGCCTCGAGCAGCGTCAGCGCGAAGGCCGGGTTGACCGTGACATCCAGCGCAGGGTCGCGGGCGGAGCGGCGCGTGGTGGCCGTGTAGAGGTTGCGGAGGGCGCTGTGCGGGGCGGTGGGGGAGTCGGTGCCGATGGCGACGGGGCCGCCGGTGCGGACGAATTCAGAGTAGGCGAAGGCGCGGCGGCAGCGGGCTTCGCCGAGGAGGTTGGGCCAGGCGCGCAGGATGGCCGGGTCGGCGTGCACGGGTTGGATGGAGGCGGTTATGCCGAGTTGGGCGAGGCGCTGGGCGTCCGTCGGGTGGGTGAGTTCGAGGTGTTCGATGCGGTGTCTGCGAGGGGAGGAGGTTGTGGTTCCTTGGGCAGTGGTGGTGGTGCTGCTGCAGGCCTCAAGGGTGTCGATGGCCAGCCGGACGGTTTGGTCGCCGATGGCGTGCAGGGCGCACTGGAGGCCGGCGGCGTCGGCTTTGGCGACAACCTTCCCCAACAGGGCGGGGTCCCAGAGGGGCGCGCAGGTGGTGCCGGTGCTGGCGTAGGGCTCGAGGAGGGCGGCGGTGCAGGCGTCGATGATGCCGTCGCAGATGATCTTGATGCCCGCGATTCGGAAGTCCGGAGACGTGGTGCGGTTGTACGCGCGGTGCAGGGCGATGGCGCGGTCGACCTGGCGCAGTACGGCGGCCTCGTCCTGCGACGGGGTGATGATCCAGTGCGCCGCCAGGCGGATGGACACGGGCTCCTGGGCGCGCAGCTGCTGCATCGTCGTCCACAGGTTCTCGTCCGTCGCCATCTCGATCATCCCCGTGTAGCCCGCGGCGTTGTAGGCCCGCACCGCGTTGCGGATGTAGGCCAGCTTCTCCTCGGTCGTCGAGACGCGCGCCACGTGCGGCCACACGTAGGTCACCGCCGCGGCTTCGCCCAGCAGGCCGCTGGGCTGGCCCGTCGCGGCGTCGCGGTAGATGGTGCCCCCCTCCGGGTCCGGGAGGCCGGCCACCTGCAGCTCCTGCAGCGCGGGCGTGTTCAGCCAGGCAAAGTGCAGGTCCTTCGAGTCGATGAAGATTGGCCGCGGGTCGAGGTCGTCGATCATGCTGGCCAGCGCCTGGCCGTCGGTCATGCTGTGCATCCAGCCGCGGCAGAACAGACGCTCCGCCGAAGGGTTCTCGGCCGCGGCGCGCGCAATCGTGGTGCGGATGTCGGCCAGGTCCTTGCAGTCGCCGAGATCGATCTTGGAGAGAGAGGCGCCGAAAAGCAGCAGGTGCATATGTCTGTGGGTCTGGAACTGAGCTTGAGATCATGGAGAATCTGGGAATCTGAATCCTTACCCGTCAATAAATCCAGGCAGGACTTTCCTCCCGTTCAAATCGACCTCATGATCCACCGGTTCAGTGGGAAGATCGGCCTCAGTGCCGACGTAAACAATGCGGTCATCCTCGATGATCATACAAGTGGGAGAATCTGCGGGGGGAGGATTGACTCCGGGGATGATAGTGGCATTCTTGAAGAGAGTCTTCATATTGGAATTGAAAATGCAAAAGGAACGAGGACTGAGAAAGATAGTAGGGTATATTACAAGATGAGCAAGTCAAGAAAAAGAAAAGCAACAGCTGTCAGAGTAAAGCAAGGTAGACTAAAAGGCGGGGAAAAGAGGAGGAGGAAGGAAGGAAGGAGGCGAGTGATAAGATGGAAAGTGGAGCAATCAATCAATCAATCGATCAATCTTATCGCACTCTTAGTCAACCCCCTCATCAACAATTAACAATAACGAACAAACAGACTTACACCAAGTCAGTCAGCTGCTTAATAGATGGTTGGTTAGTCGTGTGAATCAGTCAGAAAGAGCGAACCAGGCTACGCACTCAATAATGCCAATGCCAATGCCAATGGTAATGCCAATGCAAGCAAGGTAAGGTCGTGACTACGTAACAAAGCTAGTCGTCGCGTCGGAATCCCAATCTCCTGGCCAGCTGCTGTCGTCGTCCAAAGTCTATACAAAAGCCCCTCGCCCCCAAGTCAGCTAGCTGCTGCTTCCCCCTCCTCCCAACCGATTGCGCACCCAGCCCGTAAATCCGGAGCCAGTGCTAGATCCCTCACCACGGCTATCTCGTCGTTGGTCCTGTCCATGATTCCGGTCCTGGCTTTCGCCCTGATCATGTCCTTGATCATGTTCCTGATCTTGCCCCTGCCCTCGTCCCTGCTCCTGTCGTTGAGCTGGTCCCTCAGAGCTAGGACCAGGGGACGTAGCTGACCAAGATGAGAATGACCGCGAGCTCCACGATGAGGGTGATTGTTCAGGCCAAGCGCCAGGGGGCGGCTGAGACGATCTACCGGGGTTGGCCGCGGCACTGCTTGTGCGCCGCGAAACAGGCTCAGGACTATCGGCGATTACCACCGGGTTATCGCTTGTTCCTTCAGTCCTATACATACAACATTAGCGCGAGGTCAGCAAGCATCAAACAAAGGGTGTCACTCACTGGGGGGAATCTATACCCCGCCGGCAATGAGGACAGGTGTTATGTTGGTTCAGCCAAAGCTCGATGCAATTATAGTGAAACCAATGCTTGCAAGGAAGCACAGTCACTTCGGTCCCAACCTCCACAGCATCCATGCAAATCGAGCATTCAGCTCGGCCTTCATGGCCCAGCATTTCCGTGTCAACCTTCTTCTTCGGCAGGGATCGAATAGCAGTTGCAGGAGCCGGAGGAGGTGCGCCGCGGTTGGCAGTCTGATCAATCAGCTGAGAGATCACCCTGTCTAGCTCCTCTTGCGAATAGACCGCGTCGCCCATTCGATCGAAACTCAATAGCGACGACAGCATCGCCAGCGGGTTGGTCCCTGTCACCCCTCGTGCGCCGCCATTTCCAGCCGCTTGGGCGTTGGCACCCAAATCTGTACGGAATAACTCAAGAATACTGCAGTCGCGTCAGCACTCTGGCGCACACTCCGTCCCCTCTGAAACTGGAGCGTAGTATCAACTTACTCACTCAAGGTCCGCAGCGGATTATTTATCGGCTGCGGACCATCCGCGTCTCGAGGATGTAGGCCACCATCCTGGCTGGACGTTGCGGAATTCCCTGTTTCAATATTGAATTCAAAAGAGCCCAGACGTTGTCCCTGTCCCCGAGGCTGGCTAGAGGCCTGGCCCGAGCTGGACACAGAGGCCGAACGCTCGCGATTGTGGTAGGTGCTTGTTAAACCCCGGAAAATGTTGTCCATATTCTGTACCATCAGCAACGGGTCGAGGTTCGAAGTGGTCTGCGTGGACGGTGACTGCCCGCCGAAGCCATGCGTGTAGGTGGTCGTGGAGAAAGTGAAGCGACCGTCCGGGGATCGGTATGTGCGATGCTGGAATCCACCTCCGGAATCCCGGAGCTGATTGCCATCATTACGGTCATGATCACCTTGGGCAGCCCAGGGGTTATGATCAGCCCAAGGGTTGAGTGGAGAGCCGGCAGATCGGGGAGAGGCAGCAGAGTCGGGACGGTCGGAGGTAAGAGACGGCGCTTCATCGGGGTCGGGAGGGATTTCGACCTGCGACCGGTTAACCGATTGATTTAGAACTCGATGCAGCATACGTAGTAGTAGATAGATCAGATGGGAAGAGCATCGGGTATAAGCGTACAATCTCGGTAAAGTCCGACTGGCATTGCGGACAAATCAGGCCGTGCTCGCTGCGCGGCCAGACGCCGCCGCAAGCATGACACATGACACGGTCTCCGGCGGCGTCGGCCATGATGACAAGGCCGAACCAAGAGACTCAAATGAAGCGAGAAGGGGTGCGAGTAGAGGAGGAGTAGACTGAGAATGAGAATGAGAGAGAAGTCAAGGGAGGGGGGAGGAGAGATCCGATCAATCTATCGGTGGTCGCAATCCAGATTCGGGCCAGCAAACGGGCGTTTGGCGGGGAACAGCGATCTGGGAATTAGCTCTTGTTTGCTTGATTCTCTGGCAGCCAAAATCCGGTCATGCAACCTCAGTCATGGTTTATTTGTCGGCCTGTCCGTCCGTCCTTGGGCTTGTTACAAGCACGGCCTGGAAGAGTGGCAGGGCAGGGAGGGAAAGCTCGATTTAACGATACATGGAAGTGTCGATGATGACGGCAGACAAATAGTAGGAGAAAGAGCGATCGACGTTCAAAATAGCCACGCAAACAAACAATCGTGTGCCTGGAAAGTATGAGGAATGTGTAACCGAGGCACAAGTAACAAGCGTAAAGAGTCTGGATAAACAACAAATAATAAGAAAGGGAGGATAAAAGAGGTGAAGTGGGGGGAGAGAAAGAGAGGAAGAAGGAAGCTAAACAATTAAAGTAGAAGAAGAGGGAACAGCCGGGAATGAGTAAATGATGAATGACGTTAGCCAGTCAACCAGTCAACCAGCCAGCCAGCCAGCCAGCCAGCCCGTGGCGCAGTCTAACCAATTCCTTCAGTCACCACCACAACCGAACTGGATCAACACCAACACAGTGGTCATTAGGTCATCATGGATTGCATACAATATTCACTGCGAAGCTAAAGGATTAAGGTCGTCGTCCATAGATCTGTCTGCATATTGACCCTTTCCCCCACCCCACGAAACAATGGGTGGATGGGTCGAAAAACCAATGCAATAAAAGAAAACAGAAAATTAGAAACTCATCAGATCTCTTCCAAAGAGCGCCCTCTTCGCCCAGTCCATGGCCAGCATACATCTGGTCCGGAGGCTCACACTCTCAGCAAAGTACACACTCCGCCACAGATACATCGCCAGCACGCCGCCGCTGAAGTTCAGCCCTCCAAAGTCAAACACCGCCGCATTACTGATGTACGCCAAACTGCCCAGATGCTTGTACTTGAAGGCCTTGTATACCGCCTCGTCGAGATCTCCGTAGTCGATCTGGTTGGCCTGCATGCCCGGCAACGCGGCCGCGATCTTGGTCAGTTTCCGGCCGAGGTACTCGCCCTGCTGGTTGGCGCGCTGCGCCGTGGCCGGGAGAGAGGTGAGCTTGTTGTCGATCTGGTGCAGGAGTTCGGAAAGTTCGCCGAACTCGAGAGTTCCAGAGTGGTCCTTGTCATATTGCTCAAAGAGCTTGTCGAGGCGGCGGAGGTGGTTCGAGGCCTGGGGGAAGCGCTTCTTCACGCGGCTGGCGACCTCCTTCCACTCGCGGAAGGTGAGATGCAACTTTTGCGGGTCCTTGCCCTTCTCCCATGCAATAGTACGGAGGAAGGAGACGATGTGCTCAGCAATATTGTTTTGCACCGTGCTGCAGTCGCCAATGGCGTAGACGTCGCCCAGGGGTGCCCCAATCAGGCGTAGGTGCGAGTCAGTCTCTAGGGCATGTTTGTTGTTCTGGGATTCAAGTCGGTCCGAGAGTCGCTTGCAGAGAGGAGCGCGGGCTATGCGATTAGATTAACATTCGTAGACAAGGGACTAAAGAGATACCTACAGACACCAGTCGACCAGAGACAGAAGCCCATGGGGATCTCCTTGGTCACGACCTTGCCGTCTTCAGTTTGGGTGAAGAGGACTTTGCCATCGCGAACCTCCTTGACTCGGGCATTGGTGAGGATGTCCACGGAATCGCGAGCGAAGCGAGCCTACATAGGTGGTTAGTACAAAAAGTTCAATGATTCAATTGCCGAGCGTGGGAACTCACCTCGGCATATTTGGACAATGCTTCATCATAGGTGTTGAGGATATGGCTCCGGCTTTGGATAATGTGCACGGAGATTTCATTCCGCAGAACCTTGGGGAAAGAGTGGAGAAGATCCTCATTCAAAAGATCGAACAATTCAGCAGCAAACTCCACGCCTGTCGGGCCACCACCACAGACAACGAACGACAAGAGACGCCTACGCTCTTCGTCACTAGTGGTCGGGAGGCAGGCCAGTTCCATATTATCCAGGACTTGGTTCTTGATCTTGCGAGCATCGTCGATCGTCTTCAGGAAGTGGCAGTTCTCGAGGCCTTTAACACCATGGGGGTTGGTCACGCAGCCTGTGGATTGAGAATGTCAACATCAGTCTGTGCAATCAACCACGAAAACAAATCAAACAACAACATACCGACTCCAATAACCAGTTTGTCATAGGGAAGGTAGAACCTCTGTTCCTTGCCACTGGCATCAACCTGAGACACCTCGACCAATTTCTCAGAGAATTCCACATCTTCGGCCTGGCCCTTCAAGAAATGGCCATTGATCCGCTGCACAATGCGACGGACAGGCTCCACGAGGGACCTCAAGCCAAGCGTACCCACCGTTGCGGATGGTAGCATAGGTGTGAACAAAAAATAGTTGGTGGGGGACACGACCGTGACATGGTAGTCGCCCGGGTTGAGGTGCTTCAGCAGCGCAATGCTTCCCCAGCCTGTTCCCAACACCACCAACCTCGGCTTGTCTTGGTTTACCAAGCGGTCGTCCGAGTCATTGTCACTAATGAGGACCTCGGCGATGGGCAGATTCTTAGGGCCGCCCCGTCGGGGATTCAGGGCCAATTCCGAGACCGGGACATCCGCGGCGCTGGAGTTCTCGCGGTAAGTGGTCGCATCGTAGATGAAGAAAGCCACCACTGCCGCACCGCTCATAACAATGAAGAAACCACAATACGCGAACGATTTGAACAAAACGTTGCGGACGGAGGATCTCTGCACGACCTCCGCGGCCTCTGTTGCGGTGGACTTATGCCGGGCCGAATACCGGGGGTGGAAGAACGTTCGCGACGACAGACATTGAGCGGTAGATTTCGTGAGAGATGGCCGGGTTTGGGCTGTTACCAAGCCAATTGGGGCCGAGCGCTTTGAGGAATTGTAACGACGAGAGAGAAGGCCGATTCTCTGCAACGCAGACGTGTCCGGACGACGCCGGAGCAAAGCTGCGCTCATGGAAGCGGTAGAAGGAGAAAAAAGGACAAGAAAGAGCAGCCGAATTCGAAGGGCTGGGTTGAATATTACAGCCCACTATTGCGGAAGCAAAGATAGAATAGACAAAAGTCCACAAAGAGAACGAGTGAATGCACCCAACAACAAAGTTGCACCACAGAGCGTAAGTGAGGAAAAGTGGGAAGAATGAACAGAATAGCAAAAGACGACGCGGAAATCGGAGTGAGTGAGTGGCAGGCGACGTCATTGGGAGCCAAGCCCGCCAAATGGAAGAACGAGGCCCACTCGGCCTGCAGGGCCGGCTTGGCATCCACTCAACTTTTCAAGTCAAGTTATACTGATCACCACCAACAGTTGCAAGTAGCTCTGGATATATTGATAGCAAGAGCTAAAAGTATCTATATCTCGGCAGTCCAACCTCCTTCTCGCAAGCTAGACACAAGTGACCCAAGAAATGTGAAGGTAACCCACACTTCCCGGGAATCAATGAAGATAGTAGTGCTCATGTATGGATACCAACAAAAGAAAACCAGTAAGCATGCTCTCTGGTTTAGAAATATGGGAATAAGTATGAAAGTTCATCAGTAGCGCTCAGTTACCAAACCAAAGCAAAGTCTCCTTCCCCATTAACGCCGGTCCTGGTCCCATATGCATGCAACCTTTCGACTATTAAACAACCCAGTTACACTTCCTCCATCTAAAACCGACCCGATCAACGGGGCTTCGGCTTCGTTCGTTAATGCTCAATGCCATTCCGCTTCTTCTCCAGGGTCAGTGCTGGCCCGTTTTTTCCCCGACCCACTCTTTCGCCCGCGCGGACGTTTCACCGGACTGTGGCCGGACGTCGAGTTCTTTCTCTTCGCGGGTCTCTGCACACCCGCGGAAGCCCATGCAGCTCCCTGATCATCCATGTCGGTGACTTCCTCTCCCTCGGCATCTTCATTGTCTCCCACCTTAAACTCGTCGTCAATCGCGAGCAAGGTCGCAAATTCTCGGCACTTCTCAACCATAGCCTCCTCGCTACTCAGAGAGTTCATGTTCCGTGCGATCGCGTCCCAGAATTTGTCGCCGGTAATTCCATGCACCTTGGTAGCCGACTTGTTGAGCTCTTTGGACCCAGCTTTAGCTTCCTTGTCCCGGACATGTGCTGTGACTCCGTAAAGACGACGAAGATACGTTCGGGCTTCCCATAGCATTGCCAGGGATGCGGCAGCCGTGGCCAGAAGCCGCAAGGTCTCTGGGTTGACCTGTGCTTTCAAAGCCATGTCTCCTGGACCCTGCGCCGCAGGCAAAGTCGTCGCCGTCCCATCTTCGGCCGAGATCTCAGGCTTCGAAATGAAGATTTCCGTCTCGATTGAATGAGCCACAACGGTTCCAGTTGCAGACACGATGCGTTCCATACAACCAATAGTCGGCACAAGTTCGGCAAGCTGGCCATAATCCAAGAATGCGAGATTTTGTGCCACGAACCGGGCGAGCAAAAGGTGTTCGGGCGGGTCGCCGGTGACCTTGAGCTTTTTGAGCTCGAAATCCACCTTGGAGCAGAGGTTGGATAAGAACTTCCTCTGATAGCGACTGTTGCTGATCTTGATAATATCAAAAAGCGGTGCTAGTTTCGCGATGTATGGGCGGCTCAAGGCGCCAGTCGGATCTCCCACAACATCGCGCTGGTAGTAAAACGCTTCCTGGACAGCACGCATGTATTCTCTCTCGAACATAGATTCGTACTGCTGGTGAAGCATCTTGTGAGTGTCGGCTGCTACCTTGGCAATTGCTGGCACTGTAGACGTCTCCAAGGAGACGAGGACACCGGCACACTCTTTGGGGTGCACTAGACCTTGACGGTTGATGCTTGCTATCAATTCAATCGCCGTCAAAGCATAGGAATCCTGCCTTGATTGCGCAACTTTAAGCATGTTGTGAAGGAAATGCTGTGCAATTAATGCCGCAGCGCCATCATTGTCACTAGCCTTAAGTGATCCTCCCAACCTTGTTGCTTTCTCTTGTTCTGCAATCTCGGCAGCAGCCACCACAGACTTCTCTGCCTTGCCTTCGTGCATTGCAAAGAAATCAGCAAAGGACCTGAGTACTATGTTCTGCAGACTTGGGTTGTCTTCCTTGAAGACGCCCGAGAGGACGTGTCTCGGGCCCTCGCGACCAAACTGCGCTGGCCAAGACTGACAGACGGATCCCAGACTCTCAAGCGACATTATCCTTAGCTCAAGCGGTTGCTTGGGAAGGGTGAATGGTATGATAGAGTCCACCATCAAGCCAGCCACCGATCCTCCGTTCCAAGATGGAAAGGCGGCCCTAAAATGAGGCTCGTATTTTTCGAGATCACAGTGCCTTCCAACGCAGCCGGCGATCCGAATGTAGCTCTTGGCTCTGGCCAACACTGCACTATTAGTGCTATCCGAAAGATCGATGTTCTTATAGTGCTGTATCGGTTTCAGTACCGAGATGGTGAGCTTCACAAGCCGATCGGTATTATTCAAAACGCCATTAATGGTCCAAAGACAAGCCATAACCTCGTTGAGTTCGGAGCGAGCAAGCTTGGCAACGCTCTTAAATAGGTCGTTCTGCACCTCTTTCAAAAGAGTATTATGAGCCGACGACAAGTACGGCAGCACACAACGATAGATGACGACCACAGACCGAAATAGGAATAAATCCTCCGCCGTAGCCAGATGTCCGATGTAAGGGTGAAGCGTCTCCAACTGATCGGGACGAAACAGCTTCGCATTGGCTTTCGCAAACACGGTAATTGTCTGCAGCAGCGCCTGCTGAAAGTCTTTGCCAGAATCACTGTCTTCGACAAGTCTTTCGAACATGGTAGAGACCATGGCTTTACACACCTTGAAATTAAGAGGTGCTGACTTTGAAGTGTCGGCCATAATCTTCCTCAGACAATTACCCAAGGTTTCAAGCGCGGTGTCGCTGCGTTGAACGAGATCTACGATCAGAGTGACGCGTTCACCAAGACCCACCTTGAGCATTGAGTTGTCCTGCGCAGAGTCTATCAAGTCGTGGAAAGGCGTAAGCCATGTCTCCTCAAATGTCTGGCGAGCCAAGGTGGCAACGCTTTCCTCATGATCACCTGTCCGCTGCAAGAAGCTGTCCACGATAGCTAGCTTTAGTTCAATGCGTGATGTCTTCAGATAGACATCCTTAAGCAGACCAATGCAGCGCTTTCGCACACCTGCGGTTGGATCGGCAGCACATGCCAGAATGCTCCTACAGCCTTCTTCCTCAAGTTTCGGCTTCAGGACCATGCATTTGGCGATCAAAGACAGCGCAGAGTCGCGCACCATCGGAGATGCGTCTGTCGTACAGCGTAGAATCACACGCATGACCGAGGCATCTCTGTCGAGAAGACTGGGATCCTTCTCAAGCATGTAGATAACACTCTTCAGACTGCGACTTCGGACCTTAGCCTGATCACTCGCGATCGAGTTGAGTAAAACTTTTAAAATTGTATCGAATGCCTTACAGAATCCCGAGTTCAGGACCGTCATCATGTAAGCAAATCGACCATGCGCTGTAGGAATGTTGTCAAAGTGTCTAGAAAGGTTAGCGATACGCCCTCGTCCAATGCGTGCTTTTTATGGGTCCCTCACCGATGAGTTTCGAGCCACCGCGGGTCAGACATCGACCTCATCAAGAGTTCCACCAGAGCTTCATTTGCATCATCATTTGCGGGATCATCTTTGTCTTCCGAGTTGTAGTATACTGAACAAAAAGTCTTGGCCCATTGCGCCAAATAATATCCTCGGGCACTTGTGAGCTGCCAGTTGCCTGAGCTGCGGTCCTGAATAAGATACTCAAGAGTCATCCGATAAGGACCCTCAGCCACAACGAGTTCCTGTGGGTGTAAAGCGCGATTCGAATAGTCTTCGAACATCTGCCTCAAATCATCGGTGAGGCCACTATCCGCTTCTTCCATAGCTGGAAGCAAATGCTGAGCAGTCGCTATGAGGTCAGAAATTGCCGATCCCATCCAACCTAAAAGCTCAAGCGCCATGCTCTTCGCGGTCGCAGAACTCTTATCGAGATCAGCGATGCCAACCATGTGAGAAGCCATGATCCGGAGAAGAAGTTCCGCAGCCGGCCAATCTGTAGAACCCAGGACGCTAATCAAGTCCTCTGTGAAAAGGTCGAAGATATTCCGATATGGCTGGTCCCCAGTCTTGGTAGAAGTCATTGCCCGTTGCACGATAAATTTCACAATATATTGAGCACTTCGGACGGCATTATCATATAAGCGATTGACTTTCGTTGCAAGACGCTCCAGGGACACATCCGAATCCTGATCATCATCTTCCTGACCGCCTCCTGCAAGCTCCTCGTCTTCGTCTTCGTCCTCGTCGTTATCAGTCGATCCTGGCAACTTCCGCTTCATCCTGGAAGACTTGGAGCTGGGAACATCTAAGGCAGTCGTTTGTACCAGCTGCATTACCAATGCAGTGAGAAGCTGGATATTCTTGCCATCGGCAAGCTTGAACTGCCTGGCACTCTGTCGCGTGGAAGGTAGTTTCTCTAAGGAAACCAATATCTCATCTAGGATATACGGCCGCTGAGCAGGATACTTCGAGAATATCTTTGCCAGAACGTCCATTGCTCCCCGCCTGACCGACTCATACTTCTGATAGCCGACAGTGGAGTCTTTTTCAGTATGAGCATTCTCCACGAAGATCAGTTTGGCTGCGAAGTACTCCGCTGCATTTACTGTTCCTTCCGACACTTCAATGCGAGCGAGGAAATCAGCGAAAAGGGCAAGGACTTTCTTGCTGTGTTGAATGAGCGCGCCCAGCACCCGTTTCTGCGCCGAGAAGAATTCGAAGTACTTCGCATCTTTGCCTCCAGGACGTGCTTGAACGGCAGGGATAACACAGTGATCGAAAACCTGATTGAAGACGTTGGGGATTGCTTCAATTAGGTCTTCTGGGCATAGATCCCGCTCCGTTTGAGAACCAGACATGGTCTGCAGCAAAGTTCCCACCGCAGACAAGGCATTGTACATATCATCCAGTTTTCTAAGATACTCCTGAGTGTCCGTCTCACTTGACGGATCGTCTAGTCTCAAATCAGGCGACTGCGCAGCAATGATGGGCTTTTCACAGAGCTTCTGGGCCCTATTCAGATATTCTGAAGGAATGTCTTGAAGCCGATTGAAGCTTATGACCTTCTTAATAGCCTTTTGCAGCCGCGTATGAGTATCCGATGACAGAACTAGCCCGTTCACGTCCAGCGCGTGAGCTGCGACGAACATTGAGTTGGAATGCTCAGTAGTCCCTTCTGGCAATGTCCCCGGATCAAGCTGATCCTCGGCCTCAAATATCTCCTGAAACAGATCCTGGAGCTTGACAAGAGCCGCATCCGCCTCTTCTTTCTGGTCTTTCAACCGGATTGATCCAAGATTATCACCCCCATCTGCATTGAGTTTGCGCCTCTTTGAGGCGGTATGATCGTCGGTATGAGATGGCAGCGGTTTCACGGGAATGACTACCGAGAGCTGGGTGGCTTGAGAAGGCTGCCGATTCTGGGAAGGAGGGGTTGGTTTATTTGGGAGAGGTGTCTTTTCTTTCCGGGACGTAGGCTTCTGCGAGACATTCATGTCGCCTGGGTTTGGATCTAATGACTGTCAGTACGAGCGCGTCTTGCGATTGCCTAGATGCTTGAGCTCCATACATCTAAATGCGATGTCCGTGGCGTCCAACATCATTTGAGCAAAGGGACTAAGCTTGTTGCTGGAAACCTGGTCCTGAACGGTAGTTGAAGGTGAGGGATGAACATTTCCAATGCCAGGTGGCAGTTTGAATTTGCTATGAAGTCCAGTGAGTCTTTGTTGTGTATACCAAGGGTCATCTTCAGCTCACAATTCCGTTAGCTGGTCACCATCCAACAACTGCTGCAGGTACTCCCGAGATGTCTCCAGGCGGTTCGACTCATCGCGTCCCGATCGGATCTCATTATTCAAATCGCTCAGAGCAGCACGGCCAGACTGAACAATATGATTGATAGAGGTGGTACTAGGGGGTCGCCCAACGTCAGGACGTAGGATGCAATCTAAGGAGAGACGGATAACTATCAGTTTGAGCTCCTTTGTCGCTCAGATGCTATATCACACTGACCTAACCCAAATATCGGCGCGCTGGACATAGGAGAATACTGCAGAGCTTCGTTCACATACAAAGGCCTATTCCAAGCCCGAGCTTGCCCATTCGGGCCCAGAGGCTGCGCTTGTGGATGGCCATTGATGACGACCTGAACGGCCGGGTGCCAATTTTGAGCCATAGCAGCGGTATACCCGAGTGGGAAATAGGGGTCGGTGTGACAGGAGGGTTAGAACAGCGGAGGAAGACATGCTCTATCCAGAGACATGGCTATCTGTCAAGGAAATGAGGGATCATTCCAAAAAAGGAAGATGGTTTTACTTCAACAGATCGCAATACAAACTGATGCAATAATTAATGCCAGGCACGGTTCTCATGCCGCTGCCGCTGCTGACCGCCCGGGACTAATGTAGTGCTGGCCATGGGAAGTGGTCCGTGCAGTGGAAATCTTTCCGGAGGCCGCTTTCCCTCGCAAAAAAAAAGTTGGAAGGCTCACAGATCAATACGGCTCACGACAAAGATTACAACATTGAACTACATATTCGACCAATATGTCGGCCATCGGATCCCTTGTTTTCTGCACTGACTGTGGCTCCTTGCTGGATGGCTCAATTGGAGATCCAAGCAAGATTCTGATCTGCGATATCTGCGGAGCTAAGAACAAAGGTAGAACGGTTCCCCCAAGTTGAGGAAATGTAAAATATACCATGTTACTGACACACCTCTCTTTTGAATCAGACACTGTTCCTCAGACCATCGTGTCCGAATCCAAGCCCAGTGCTTTCCCCTCATCTCTCCGGGCAAAGCGATCTGCTGTTCAGACTTTGACCGCAGAGGACAGAAAGACGGAAGCCCTTGCCCAGCACACATGCGCCCAGTGTGGTAGAAAGGAAATGTACTTCACGACAGTACAATTGCGCAGTGCCGATGAAGGAAGTACAGTCTTCTACACGTGTGTTTGTGGTTACAAGTAAGCCAAATCCCCTGCTCGCGCATTCCGAATAGTCCAGGATCATTGACCACTTTCTACAGGGAGACGACAAACAACTAAAAAGCGAAAAATCATGACGTCTATTTTTTGGCCCTTATTTGTACATCCATGAGGCACGAAAGCAACTATTTACCGACACTGTAATATCATTGTTCGCATAATTCATCAAATCAAGCAGATACCGCAGCAGGGGCAGCCGAATCTGGCACCAGGGCGTATTCGACTTCTCCGCTCTTCTCAAATTCCGCCATATCAAGCGCCACGATGATGCTGTCTCTCACCACCTGCTCCGGATCGTTCAAGAACTTCTTCAATGTATCCTCGACACCCTCCACATCGCCCAAGCTGCCAAGGGCTTCCGCGGCTTCGTGTCGCACCATACCCATCTCTGCTTGATCGCTCAGGCACTCCGTAAGGCAAGGCACGGAGGCAGGGTGGCACAGTTGGCCAAAGACGAATGCAACCTCGTGACGAAAAAGAGCGGAGGGATCCTTGAGACCCTTGGCCAGCGCATCGACAGCCTCGACGGCCGTGGGCAAGTCGGGAGGGGAGGCAAGGTCACGCAATGCGAACATGGCGCGATATCTCTGGAACAGAGGAAGTTTTGTGTCGAGCAGGGTCTTCTCCAATTCGGGAATGGAAGGTTGCTCTGTAGCCATGGGAAGTGGCGGAGCAGGGTCGATGGAAGTGAAGTCACTATTTGTTCTCGACAATTAGCGCGCTCAATACATCTATGAAGAATTGATAGACTTCGAAATTGCGTAGACTTACCTAGGCTTCAACTTCTCGGCCTTTCTCTCCTCGGAGTTCTCCCAGATAATGCGATCCACCGCGATGTCGCAAGTCTCGCGGATAACATCGAGCTCCTTCTCGTTGTCTCTCAGAGATTTCAAGATCTCCAGACTGTCCTCATAACCGAGAGCACCGAGAGCTTCCGCAGCCTCGTGGCGACACATGGCATCTTCTTCCGTGTCCTTCAGGACCTGCTGGAGGTACGAGACGGCGTCGGGGTTGCGGGTCTGCCCGAGGCAGTAGGCAAGCTCATGCTTCAGGAGTGCCGACTTGGACGAAAAGCCAGCAGCGATGGCTTGGATAGCAGGCAACGTCTTCTCAGTGGGAGGTTGGAGGCAAGCGAGGTACTTGAGGGAGAAAAGGGCGCGGAACCGGCGAGCGAGGGGCTCGGACTCGGAGGTAAGAACCTTGCGCAAGGTGAGGACGGTCTCGTCGACGCCCTCCAGATTATCGTTGGCAACAGAGGACATGGTGATTATGAATTAAAGAACGTATTCGAGAAGGCTGAAAAGAAGGGGGGTATTGCTGTAGGAGAAGAGAGGGCAGAGAGATAGTCGATCATGAAAGATGGACAATTTTTCGATCTTATCACTACCCGATAATAAATTTTAGGTGGGGGGGCGGGGTGCCAGGGCCGTGGGCTAGGCGTCTTTTGCTTTAAAATCTCTCCAAGCCACCACCACCACGATCCGGATCGAAACGTGCCGGTAGGCACCATCCTTCAGCTGCAGCGGGGCAGATCTTATCTCAGTAGAAATGCCCCAGGAAAGCTCAATGAGGGGACATATCGCTAGACTGAGATATGACAATCGATCCATGTATAGGCAGACAATGTTCATGTCAGATATCGGCACAAAATATAAAGCTATGTTCGCACATACCTACGGCAAACGGAGAAGGTTTTACAGTTGCGCTTAGTGCCTTCCCACGCAAAACACCGTTTTGTACTGCTTTAAACCCAGAGCCGTCATGTAAATTGCTAAGGTTGTGCTAATCAGCTACGGTGAATGTTTCAGTTCAACCTGACATAATACCTTCCATTTCATAAATATACCTTTAAGAGGAACTCATGTTAGGCCAAGATACTCTTTTACTATAAGGATCTAGTCAGACTGCTGTCACGTAGTGAAATCAGTGCAATGCAGTGACTCGCAATGAAGCGTTGGGGTCCAAAAGGGTTGTAGCGTGAGCTGAGACAGAAATCATTAGTGGGAGATGTGCCAGCATGCTGATGTAACCCAATTGAGCCCATGGCATCTGGTTACACGGTGGCTATCACTCGCACCTCTGTAGCATATGGACACTTAGTGGACCATTGAAAAGGCTGTATCCTAGCCTGGTCCATGAGTAGGTGCCATGTCAATACTGCCTTCTGGAAGCCACCTCTAGTGATGCAAAATCCTCTCCGGTGACGAAAACAAGCCATGGACTTGAAAGTGTGGGTAAGTTGAAGTGTTGAAAACAATGTAATTAACCTCAAAGCATAATTCGGGACTAGAACAAAAGCCTGCACTTATGTACACGAGACGCGAAGAATAACTCAATTTATTTGGTCTTGATGTGCTTGAGCTTCTTCGGCTCGTGGAGGAAGTTGTTGGAGTACGACTTGGGAACGAACCGGCGCTCATTGGGCTCCTGAACGAAGTACTCGTAACCTTGCTTCTGCGCAAACAGGATGGCGTCCTCCTTGCTCTTGAACTTGAGGTTGGTACCCTGCATGCAGTCGGCGGAAGATTGCCAGCCCATCAGAGGGTTCTCCCACCGGTGGCCCTTCTGCAAGATATCCCAGTCCATTCTCCAGTGGTGACCGTGCCAGGTTCCAGACTGAGTAGCGGGCTTCGTAGGGCGGTAAATCCTGTATCCAATTAGTGCGCTGGAGCACGGCGACCGACGAAGTTACTCACCGGACGGTACGAGCCTGCAGATCGGTGGGAGCGCCAGACAGAACAGCAGCAGCGACGGTGTCACCGGGCTCGCTGCCATCCATGACACGCTTGGGCACAGGGGAGAATTGCCTGGATTGTCGTCAGTCGATGTATATTCCCCAGATCGCGACGGAAGGAATCTCACGAAGTGGCGTGATCAATGGTGGCCTCATAATCGGGCTGGTGACGGGCCATTGCCTGCGAAGGGCTCTCCTTGCGGATCAATGTGCTGTCTTTGTGAGGGATGGTCGGGGCATCAGCAGGGCTGGTCTTGACGGAGCCGTCGGCGGTCGACACAAAACGGGCATTGACAGGCGCGGCGAGCCTGCCGGCGCGGAGGCAGGCGAACCTTCCTACTCTCGCAAGCGACATGATGGGTATGTGTGTGTGTGTGTGATCTGTGGAGGGGACAGGTGAAGGAGCCGCTGCGGGAGGACAATTGCAAGGTGAGGTATGCGGCGAGTGCCGCTTGTTCAGACAAATCCGAATTAGGACTAGCGCGATAATGAGGCTCCCTGCGTTAGGAACCGCTCATCCGACAACCCGCTTTCTGTTGGCACTTCTCTCTTCTCCCCGTCAGTATTCATTGTCCTAGTTAACCTGCTAGCGTCAAGGTAAGTCGACTGTTCCGAGACCGACCCATTGTTTATTTTACATCTCCTGGTATGGATTGAACTTTTTTTCTGATGCGACCTTTGGGTAGATCCTTCAAGATGAGCTACATCGCCCGCCGCGGTCTTTCGACCCTGATCCCTCCCAAGGTAAGACCCAACCGAGCACAGTCAGAAAACAACATGATACCTGGGCAAATTGAATGCTAATAGTTGCTTAGATCGCTTCCCCTAACGTGAGAACCCCTACTGTCTTGTTGTCTGCCTTCCTTCCGAGACGCAGCCTCCAGAAGCAATCTCTTTCTTGCTCTGATCACCTCGGCTGAACAACCCGCACACCCACCCCTTCCCCGTCACCACAGCTAACAACTTGAAAAGGCGATCGGTGCCGCCAAGGATGCTGCCCGCATGGACCGGGTCGTGAACTTCTACGCCAGACTTCCTCGCGGTCCCGCCCCTGAGGTCAAGGCCACTGGCCTCATTGGACGCTACCAGGCTCGCTACTTCACCGGAAAGAACCAGTCTGCTACTCGTTAGTGACCACTCACCTTCTACTGTACGGTACATCAGACTGACGCCGCATGGCATATAGCCTTCATCCACGCTATTGCCGGTATCCTTCTCCTCGGCTACAGCATGGAGTACTACTTCCACCTCCGTACGTCTTCTAAGCTCATTGACAGTGTGCGATACAAGAGCGCTAATTCTAGAGCAGGTCACCACAAGAACCACCCCCACTAAACGACTGGTGTTTGATTTACCGGACGGGCGAGGATTTGTGTATATACCACACCCTCTACAATGAAGACAATGTAGAACATCACCTGGATCATTGTACCATCTATCAATTCAGAATCATTTCTAGCAAAGGAATTCCACCCCTGCGTCCTGTTAGATTAATGTACCCGACTATTCACAATTATTGGAGTATTCCAGGCAGACAGCGTAAGTCGTCCTCTTGATAGACACTAAGTGGACCGACGAGTAGTCCTAGGGTATGTGCCGCAAGTTGTGCATAACTGTTCTCAAAATGCGCGTATCAATAGCCAATTCAAATCGATGGGACATCTGTTTGTCTCTGGTATTGGCCTTGTGAATGCTGTTTTGAAGCAAACATGCCAATAAGATCGGGCATACGCTACAGAAGCCGAACAAAATGCTTAACCTTGTATAGAGACTTCTCTTCTTAGATGCTAGATACCATTCTTTGCAGAATTGCCGTGCATTCTGCTCAATTAACCGGCCATGCCCAATTGAGATTACTGAATGGATGAACAACTTCCTCCCATGGCTTAGCAATTATCTCAACTTTGTATCACCCCACAGCCTCCTTCCTGCCCATGTTGACCGCTCTTGCTTTGACAGCTGCCCTGACTTACATGCCCGACAAGTCTCCGTGAGTGTTACATCGCATCACGCTTGGCCCGAAGGTAAATGCGATGAAGTGCAGATGTTGGTTCGGGGGTCGAGCACCTCACGAATGTGGCTGAGAACCAGCCTCACTTACCTCTTAGATGGTGGTGCGGTCCATCCTCCCATTCTCTTTCGGAGAGTTGTCGATAACAAAGTAATCTAGGATACTTCCGTCGGAAAGTTGAACACGAATCAGACCAGAGGGACATGATAGCTACTGTTGGAACCAACAGAACGGTCTCATAGCCACGATGTCATCAGGAACCGATTGCAGATTTCGGGGGAGAGAGAGGCCTGGGCGGCTACACAGCCACAGGTGGCTTGACAACATGCCCGTGCAGGCTCCATCCCAGCTGACATAAATCATGTCCGACCAAAAGACTAGGAAAGCTGCCTTGGGTTGCAATAGCACCCCTTGCTAGCGCCGTTGAAAGCAAACAATAGGTGCCTTGTCATGAGGCTCGTGGGAGCCGTGCGAATCTGGAAGAAAAGAAGGCCGAGAAGCAAAGGCCGAGGGGCGAAGGGGAAAGAGAAAACAAAACAAAAAAACAAAAAGAGGAAAAGAGAAGGCTCTTCAACTCCATTTTCCTTATTCATTGAGTCATGCAGATCGGAAGTCCAAGAGGACAAAAGCTTACTTGTCAAAAGCTTGCTGCTGCCATCACACTTGCAACAGCTGTTATGTATGACAGAAGGTTTTGGGTCTTCCGTCTACTCCACTACTTTATCCTGACTTGACGTTATGACCGTAAGCATCGATTATGTCCTGGGATTTGACTCTAGGTCTACGCTTAATTGCTGAGAATTGTCAATTCTGGTCAGAGGTACTATGCAGCAGTCATCAGTGGCGCAGCAGGGCCTAGAGTAATTAGTGCTCTTTCACAAAATGATGGGGCGTCGGACACTCCAGCTGAAGGAGTCCGAGACTTGTGACCTTCTTCTCATCCTTCCAGCCTTCCTCAATCAATTGATTTGAGTTCCCAGGTTTTCTTGACCCAGGTACGACAGTGAAGCGGTGCTCGGGCTCAGGGCACTCAGTAATCCGATCTCGGATCCTTGACGCCTCACTTGCTGATAGGAGGTCTTGCATAGTCCCGGATATATCGTCTAGGCTTTCAGTCTATGCATTTGGGTTGTTATTCGCCTCTTTGAATGGGGACTACAAGATTGCTGCACGGTGTTTCTCTGAGCTCTGATGGGCAGTGCCCATGCAATATGGTGTAATTGCAACAGCGTCCATCTGCAACTTGCAGTTGCCCGGGTATCACAGGAATCTAGATATTGTCGCACCCCTCTTAGAGACTAACATTACAATGGCACTGTTCAACTATAAGCTGCGCTCACTAATCAATAATCAAGCGTGCTTAAGCAATTCATCATTTTTTTCGAATAGGTGGCTTAACTCTGCACGAAGGTCCGCCTGTGTACTTGACACCGGTCAGCCATTAGTGTAAGCATTTTAAAGCCTTTTTTTTTATTCTTGTTTTTTTTTTTTGTTTTTGTATCTTCTAGTAACATCTAGGCACCGTTTAAGCAGGGATGCGAATGTCTGCCTGTCAACCTGCATGTCGCTCTTCCTAAATGGCCACCAGCGGGCGTCGCTGCGGGCAAGGCTCCGAGATGGCCCTGGGCTAAAGGACTGAGATTACTTGTCCGCTTGAAACTAGCCACGCAACGTCATGACATTTGGATCTTTCTGTTAGGGCTAATCTACCTACATACCGCTTTTCGTGGGGAGGGACAAGCGTTGAGTTCGAATGATTAATGACTTGCTCTGCTAGAAACAATGATGCCTTATATATATGCTATCCTCCCAAGCTTCTATATTTTTCGGAGATCCTTGGTCTATTTTAGCTGTATTGAACTGTGTGCTCAACATAGCATTCCTTTTGAGGGGGCTACTTTTGTCTTACTATATCTTTGGCCTTTTGGTGCTTGCAAAGAGCCAGGTACCGCTTATCTTCATCAATACAAGCCTTGCTCCATCTCCCATTCAAATCTCTTCCAAACCTCCGGTCTCACAGGGTGCCTCATTGACCTCTCTGACTCAGATTTGTTGGTCTGTCTTGCGCCAACAGCCTTCTGTGTGGACATGAACGACGATTCGAGCAACAACGATGCGGCCCATATACATTTCACTTATCCTGATTATCAACACAATGTAAACCATGGCTATCTTATTCCTGCTGGACCCTCTGGACCCTCTGGAATACATTCATCAGTTTGTTATCCCAAGCTGACCTTCCTATTCAAAAATCGGTCTAACTTCAGTGTTCAGCAGCAAAGCCCCTCATCAATTCCCTCCCTCGGATCTCCTTCGATCAGTATAAGTCCCACGGAAGATGCCATTCGTCATGGGTTGGACATTCCTCTTTTCTACGACCATTCCACCAATTTTATAAATGATAACCAACCTTTATTTGACAACGCGAACCCTCTTCCAAGCACAGAGACCAACGGTACAGGTTTTGATCCGTCATACTTTGCGCCCGCGCCTGCACCTCAGGCATCGAACGAGATATACCAGGATGAGTTCAAGCTTGCCGTGGAACATCTCATCAACATGGTTCGGACCGACGTCTTACAACGCCAGATTCCTCAGCTGCACGATGCCAAGGACTTCCTGCAAGTAACTTGGCACAGACTGGACGGCATGATTCAGCAACAAATTGACATATCCGAGAGATTAGCAGATAATGGCCCCAGAGCCAGCAATTTTATCTGCCAGCTTTGCCCTAGTGGACAGCGGAAGATCTACAGTACGCGGGCCTCATTCCGACGTCACGTCGCCTATGAGCATGCCCCACGGTCTATCTATCGTTGCCTCGATGACAAGTGCCTCTGGACGACAAGGAGGAAGGACAAGCTGCATTTACACTTGAGACACAATCACGGATTTCAATGGCGGGCTACTCGCGAGCAAATCAACTTAGTCGAGACTAAGATGCCCCCACCTCGTGTCTGTCCTCTGTGTCAGATTGCTGTTACTTCCTGGGATGAGTACTTCAAGTGTGTGTGTGAGCATAGTCGCGTGGCAGGAGCTGGCTCGGCAAGCACCAGCGCCAGCCAGAGTCGTCGGAACAGCGATGACCGTGGACAAGGTAGTGGTGGCTCTAACTACAATAATTTTCAATTTCTTGGCAGTGAGTTTGGGGCGAACAATGGCCAGTCAGCCTCTGGGAACGGCAACCATACGGGCTCTACCTTTTTCAGCACGGGGTACCACCAGAACCAGCATACACATCAAGCGACACATGATATGAGCGGCCCCGCGCCAGCGACTTTGACAGGCCCAAATCCGGGTGTGTTCTCTGATGATGGTCCATTACATCTTCCAGACATTGATGGGCTGCGTTCCGAAGAAAAGACATGTCCCGGACCAACAAGTCTTACAAGTCAACATTGGTCGATGATGAATGCTGCCAATCCAACCACATGCGGCCCACACAACAAGGGAACTGTCTCCGAGATCCACAAGTCTCACATCAGCACCTCTGTGTCTGAGAAGCATAAGAGAAGACCCTGCTCAAAGGAATCGCTACAGAACAAATTTCTTGCCAGAGGTCAAGGAGAGCTCCACCATGAGCAAAATGAGGAACGGCCCGAGAAGAAGTGCATTACCTGTGGACATGTCTTTCACAATTGCTCTCGATGTCGACGATTAAAAGCGCTTTCCGGAAAATGCCACCAATGTGCAGATTGGACCGGCAACAGAGCAGGTCTCCAAAAAGCGTACATCTGGCGAAGCCGTGACCAGGCTCCTGATGTGAACAGACAGGACGCTCTGGCACACTCCGTCACCGATACAACTTGGTCGCTGCCATCGAAAGATATTCGGTTAAGATCTTCTGATCTTCTTCACGCTATGGGTGCTTTCGATAGCTTCGAAGAATGTCGACCTTCTGAAATTTCTTCGCAGGACCGTGAGCCCACCATTTACCCGCTTCAAAGCCGAACCAGGCTAGATGGCGGGAGCCACGAGCCTTGCACCACACAACCGCTGTCTGGTCTAAAATCAATACTTTCAATCGATACCAATGTGGTGATCTCGATGGTGATCTCGACGGTGATCTCGACGGTGATCTCGACGGATACCCCTTCCAGGAAAGTCCCGACAGTTGTCTTGCATGCCCCGGGAAGATATCTACCAGCAAAGGTGCAAGATCAGTCGACACCCGAAGCAATGGCTAGACTACACCAGCGCCGCGCCGGTCAAAGAGCGACGTCTTTCATAGCTCGCAGTCAAAGGCAGGTATCCTTCGATGACGAGAAGATCAAATTCTGCGACTCAAACTCGTGGGTGCCACATGAGAAGACACTAACTCTCAGTTACCTGGACCACGCGGTGCTGCATGTGATGTACAGTTCTCTATCTGAAATGATCCTCTATGGTATGTGTCTTGTACACCCAGCCTTTCGCGCTTATAGACCATGAGGTGGTTCATGTGCTCACTGTTCCACAGAAATAGATGTCGAGCAAGGCACCCTGGTCGAATCGATGGGTGTGGATGTCACTCGTCGCTCCTTGGGCTGGCTGTGCAAGCCGTCTAAACAGAACACGGGCCTTCCTCAATTGACCAAGAAACGAGTTGATAAGAAAAAAAGTAACACAATGTTACGAGCACGGCTCCACATAGTTGTCGAACTTCTTGCACTCCACGCAATGGCCATCAAACGACGGTCCAAGAGGAAGTGTTTGACTGACGATACTTATCCAGCTAAAGTCGTCAATCGGTCTATTTCTTGCACCTCACCTGAGATGGTAAGCCCGGATGATGTAGTTTCCCCGCTGTTCGACGCTGTCGTGACGTGGGACAGTTTTGCGATGGTGAATATCGTATCCTCTTGGATCGCAACTGTTGTCCCCGATACTGAAGGGCAGGTGGAATTGATGCTGTTAATGTGGTCGTATATCTATATCATTCTCAACGGCAGTCCGATCAATCTTCGGCTACAGAGCTAACGTCAATGACAACAGCTGCTAACTCTGCTTTATGATGCTTCGGAAAGGGTTATGATTGATATGGTCATGCGCCCCTTCTGTTTCACCTGCATCTATCCGCCTGTCGTACTATGCATGTTCATTGTGTTGCACCGCTGAGATACCTTTCCAGATAGTGATAGTTCTCTCTTATCTTGCATTATGCATGTACCAAATCGAAAAACTTGAACTAATAGCAGTCAAAACATATTACCTAGAAGGAAGGGTAGGATTACCACTGGTGGATGGACGCGGGCCTGCGGGGATAGGAGTTAACCGGCAATCTCCACCCGAGATGACATAACCATATCCGAGGATCCGCCCTATCGATAAGCGTCGGTCAACATGAGCAAACAACATCCCCCTCTCCTCTCTCCAGAAGCATGGGGCAAAGCGCGGCCTGCCCTTAAAAAGCACTAACCAGATTGCCGGCCAATTGGGGCCTCGTGGCTAGTCTTGCTCTGCAGTGACGGATTACCCGTTCAATTGGTGGGGTGTCTGATATGACCCTTGCTGTTTTCACCCTGCTCGCACCACCCTCTCATACGTGTGGCTGATAATGAGTTCATCTGGTTCGCCCCCCGCTGCTGGCGGCGGTCCTCCCGGGTCTTCTCCTCCCTCTCACCCAGGTGCATCGGATCGAGGATGGCATCCGGCTCGGGAATGGCTTGAGGAAGACGAAGAAGACGAGTATGAGGATATGGACTATGAGCCCAATGAGACTGACGGAAGAGACGACGACGATTCTGATATCGAGCCGTATGATGACGAAGATAACGACGACGACCTAGACCACATCGACGTCGATGGTGCTCATCTCAGTACTGTTTTCTCCCTTTCCCATTTTTTTTGGTTTCGTTTGTGTGCCAGCTCATTGAGCTTAGGAGTGTGTTAGTTGCTTTGGACTACACAACTGACTTGTTCTTGCTTCTCTGCCTCGTTGCATCTAGATCCTGAATTACATCTGGGAAATATACAAATTGAATTCGCCATGGATGAGCCAGGCCAGAACGGGAATGGCGGAGAGAATCAGGGGACACGACAGAATAGAGGTAACACGATCTGATCTGGCTCGTTGATTCGTTGGGGAAAGCCGCTCAACTGATGGTTACAGTGTCTGCAGCTCGGCTGCTAAATTTATTGGCCTCCAACGGCTTGCGGCACATCTTGCACTACAACGGGCTGCATGAGACCTCCCCAGGGGAGGAGGAAGATGACGACTACGAGTTTGGCTTCTTTGGCTACCGTCGGCGAGCACGGCGATCCGGGGAAAGCAAATTCCCCAAGGTTCCCAGCGACGAGGGCCAGAATCTGATGAGATCGGGCGACTTTGGACGCAATACATACTACGTTGATCGGCTCAAGCGACGAAACCAGGCGCTCGCTTCAAAGGTCATGTGGCGGGAACTCGGGGTGAACTTGACGGGGACAAATCGGCAGGATATCCGATCGATGGCGCAGGTTCGTATCCTTCCTGGAGACCACAAAAGACATTCTATGTGCATGCTAACATTCGGCGTATAGGGGCTGATTCCCAGCTCCGTGGCGGACAAAGTCATCCATTTCGACTCTCGCTGCTACTCAGGCCAGTTCTCAGACGACGGCAACTTCTTCTTCTGCTGTGCCCAGGATTTCAAGGTGCGAATGTACGACACTTCCAATCCCTTCGACTGGAAGTACTACAAAACTGTGACGTATCCATTTGGGCAATGGACTATCACCGATGCGAGCCTGAGTCCGGATAACAAGTTCCTAGCATATACGTCGATTCGGAATCTCGTTTGCCTGGCACCCACGGACCCGGCTGATGAGTCCGAGCCGGCTGTCCTGGATCTATCCTCGATACCTGGAAGACGACGGATGCGTTTCGGTGGGAATTCTCACTTTGGTGTAAGCTTGATCAACAACTGCTCATTGATAAGATCGTATGTACTCAAACTGCAATAGATCTGGTCGATTCGGTTCTCAGGCGACGGTCGCGAGATCGTGGCTGGCACTTCCGATCAATCCGTCATCGTCTACGACCTCGAAACACGACAGTCGGTGTTGCGGTTACAGAATCACGAAGATGATGTGAACGCTGTTTGCTTTGGTGACCAATCTTCGCCCCATATCATATATTCCGGATCTGATGATACAACTTTGCGGGTTTGGGACAGACGCTCGATGGGCGACGGGCGCGAAGCCGGGGTGTTTATGGGGCATACGGAAGGCTTGACCTACGTTGATAGCAAGGGGGACGGACGATACGTGTTGTCGAACGGCAAGGACCAGACGATGAAGCTCTGGGATCTGCGAAAAATGATGACCACGGCGAAGTTTGACTCGATCGATGTCAACACATTTACCACAGGATTCGACTACCGGTTTGAATCCTACCCCGATGACTACTATGAACCTCATCCTCACGACTGTTCGGTCGTCACCTACCGTGGCCACCGGGTCCTCAAAACTCTGATCCGGTGCCATTTCTCGCCGCCCAACAGCACCAACTCCCGATACGTATATACCGGCAGCGAGGACGGTAAGGTGTACGTATATAACATGGATGCGACGCTGGCGGGGACGATTGACGTAGGGCAAGCCACTCACAATTCGCGCCCGCTGGACCCCGACATGTCGACTGCTGCATATGAGATACGTAGCAGCCGGAGCGATGTGCTGTGGAAGACCTGCGTTCGGGATGCGAGCTGGCATCCGAGCTGCCCAGCCGTTGCGGGTAAGTTCATGCATTGATGTCTATGACCGGTTGGGAATCAAGCTAACCGTGCCCTTTCAGCGACGTCGTGGAATGGCTGGGGTCTGTCCACTGGTACTTGCACCTTGCACACCTGGAACGATGGCGCCACATCCGACGAAGGGTCCCCTCCATTAGCACGAAATTACGACAGCAAGTTGAATCCCGTGCCTGAATATGATGATTTCAAGCAGACGATGGCCGCGATGTCTCGCAGTCGGCCTGTTCAGAGGTCTCCGCTGGATGATGAGCTCGCATACGAATTATGGTAGATTACCAGGCGGTATATAATACAGAGGCAGGCAAGCGCACTATGCGATTTTAAAGTTGCTCACTAAAAGGCGTTGTTTCATTTGATCTCGGAGCGCATGAAATTGTTTTGGAAATTTAGTGTGCTTCGACACGTAATCCACGAGACACAGATAGAATACTCAGCAGCTATAGTTCGGCTTACTATATATTATATATTGAACGGATTGATGCGATAGGATGTCAAGCATGTACGTACCATTTAAGCTCTGAATCAGAGTTAGATGATCATACATTAAATTCAACCAACAGATATTGATTCCACAGCCAATGCGATCGCCAAATGTGAGGACCCAAAGACTCGAGGCGTGTGGTGGTCAGTCCGCGGGCGGAGTTATACATCTGCCGCTCCGGGGCTGGGAAAGCTCCACTTCCTGCGCCTTCGAGACCGCCCGCAGTTCCAGGCAGGCAAGCAGCAAGCAAGCAGCAAGCCGAGCAACAAGCAAGCACAGCAGCAGGTAGTTAGTCTTCCCTCTCTTTCCTCTCTCCGAGTCTCCCTCCTCCCTCGACTACTTCGTACTTCTTCCATCTATCGCGCGCGCTCGCTCCACCTGCAAGCCTTCTTTGGACACGTCTCAAGGAATCTTCTTCTTTTCTTGTCCTTTTTCTTAACTCTCAAGTTCTTTTCCCCTCTTAGTCCCCCCCCTTTCTTCTTCCTTCGTCCATCTCGCCCTCTCGCCACCCTGTGACTGCCCTATCAACCTGGGGTGCGCAACGACACCAGGGGATCACCATCCTTTTGCTAAGCTCACGCGCAGTTTGTTTCGGGATTCCTCCTGACTCACATCACCGTGTTCAGGCAGCTCAGCTCGAGATCTCACAGCGTGTTACTAACACAAGTATCAGTTCGATCCTTGTCTTTTGTATGCTCTCATCGGAACAGTGGAACCTGTTCATTGATAGCTAAAAGTTGAGCTACATTCTGTGGTAGCAGCACGTCTCGGCGCCGCATCTGTGGAAAACAACCTCACTCCCTCCTACATCCCCCCCCATCCTCTTCAGTTCTCTCTTTTCAGTTTTTGTTGTTCCATTTGGACACCAGAGGTTCTCTCTTATCACACACTACCTGTACTTGCAATCACTCGGAAGGCAAAGAAGCACTACCTCTGTTTATCAGACACAAATCAACCTCCGCTCGGACGTTGGTGAAAAGACCTGTGTGTTCTCTTTGGAGCTGCGTTTGCTTCACAATTGTACGTATTATCGAGCCTTTTTTTTCTTCTTGTGGTTTTCTGTCGGACATCATTGCCGCCCTGCATCCCCCGTGTTGTTCTTAAGAGTGTTGAAAACATGGATCTTCTTTCTCCGCGACAATGACCCAGCTGCAGCCGCGGCCTCTCCAGTATCCGCACCGTCCGATCACCGCGCGATCAATCTTCCTTTTGCTAATTGACCTGGTGTGTCTGCAGACATGTATTTCACTTGATTCCTCGCAACTGAAAGCCAAGAAGAGAGAAAAAAAAAAGAAATTGTATCTTCCCTCACGCAAACCAAATCAAGAAACTGCCTTGAGAGCAAGAAAGACCGAGTCATAACTAAATCACAATGGCCACTGAGGATGATAACTTCGACATTGACATCTATGGCGACGGCGGGAGCTACAATGCTAACGATCAGGGCGAGGACATCAAGCACGAGGACACGGAACTCATTCTAGACGCGTCGGACGCCACGCAGAACAACAGCGTCGCTCAGGGCGATGGCTCATCGGATGGAACTCTGAAGCAGGAAAGTGAAGGGGCTGCGCCCAGCAGCACCGCGAGCGTAGCACATGGAGAAGCCGCCCCCCAACAGACCCACGCCCCGGCGCCCCAGCAAGGTGTGAAGCGCAAGGAACACGATGACCGTCCGACGGATCCTGATGCGACGCCTGCCCTTCTCATCTCGGATTTGTACTGGTGGACCACGGACGATGACATTCGCGGCTGGGTGGCTCAGGCCGGCAGCGAGGATGAGTTGAAGGACGTGACTTTCAGCGAGCACAAGGTGAATGGTAAAAGCAAAGGGTAGGCTTGCCTCTCTGACTAGTTTCTCGGGGATGACACTGATATTCAAACTGGGTTAGACAAGCATTCGTTGAGTTCACTACCCTCCAGGCGGCCACTGCCGTGAAACACAAGATTGAGTCGTTCGCCACGTCGGGGCAGGCCGCACGCAAGCACATGGTCGTCTATACCAGTCCCCAGCCCAACCCTTTCCGTACATTGCCCAAGGATGCGCCCATGCGCAAGGACAACCAGTCACGATCGATGTCCGGCGGCTTCAACTCTTCCAACCAGAACATGAACTTCGGGATGAACAACATGGGTGGCGGCTTCCGAGGCGGTCGGGGCGGATTCAACAACCGGGGTGGCATGAACAACATGAACAGCTTTGGCGGGAACCGCAACTTCCAGGGTCCCATGGGTGGCTTCCAGCAGCCGATGGTGGGTGGCTTCCAGCAGAACAACCCGATGGGAATGCAGAACTTCGGGTTCAACAACCGCGGGGGGATGATGGGCGGTGCCATGCGTGGCGGCCCCGGTGGCATGCGCGGCCGGGGCGGCGGCATGGCGGGTGCCAACATGATGGGCATGCCGGCCATGAATCCCATGGGCGCCATGGGGATGAACCCGATGTCCGGGGGCATGAATCCGATGATGGGCGGAATGGGTGGAAACATGGGCATGCAGGGTATGTCTCACCGTTTTTAATGCGCTTGCATAACCTTATTGACCGGGGCACTTCTTCTTAGGACAAGGCGGTTTCCAAGGCCCCAATCCAGCATTCAACCAGGGCTTCTTCCCCAACGCCCAAGGCGGCGATGGGTCATGGAACCCCCACGGCGCCAAGCGCAGCCGACAGGAGTGATCTCCTTGTTGTTTCGTTTCTGGGTTGTCTCTCACCAGAGGCTTCTTTCTCCTCTTCTTCCATAACTGCTTCATGTCCGTGGCCCTGGGCGGTCACGGGCCTTTGACCACTGGTAGTCTTTATGTATCACATGTGCTTTTTTAGTTTCGTCTACGTCGGGGTTCATGTTTTCTGGCTCGCTGCGAACGGTTCATATGGGGAAATTGGCATTTGTTTCTTTGCTTCTTTGCTTGTGTTTCTGCTGTTCATGAGGGCATCGTGTTTACGGTGTTTTAGACCAATCAAAGGGAATCTTGTATCATCTGGTTGCTTAGCTGTTGCTTGGCTGTTGCATTTGTCTGTTGTCTGGTTAGAGGACCAAGCTGTAATGATTAATGGGATGAGTACTGTGCATGTGATGTTGTATAGGCAGTATACAGCGGACAGGATAAACAAAGGGCCGGGGCAGAAAGTGAAGTCAAGATGCCGAGTCGAAGCTAAACTAAATTAAATCCCACCCGCCCGCCTTCTTATCGGTTCTGTCCGTCCCTCACCTCGTCGTCATCTCTTCTTTCCTCTGTGGTCCCACCAAAAAGCTGCACCTTGCTGGTCCATGAAGACAGCGGCACGCGACACTCGTTGACCTTGACCAGACCGAGCGTTCCTGACCGAGTAGCATTCCGTCGGTATCTTCTGAACCCCGACCTCCCACAAACAATCGCCAGCGTTTCCCCCGCGGTCCTTGGAATCTCTCCCCTCCGCTCCCCGCCCACTTGACACCAGCCCCGAGTCCGCGACATTCGCCCAGCCCACACTCCAACACACGAGCACACACGCACTCGCTCTTTCTTTCTTTTTCTTTTCTTTTCTTTTCTTTTTATTCTTTTCTAAATTGTATTGCGACAATCCCCGCGAGATCAAATTCATTCACCATGCAGGCAGTTCCCGAATCCCGCCAACAGACCTTCGAGGAGATCTACGGACCTCCGGAGAATTTCCTGGAGATTGAGGTACGCTTGCTTCGCGCCTGCTCCATCCCAAACCCCAGGTCCTAGTTCCCAGATCCCAGTTCCCAACTAATCCTTACCAACCAAAAGGTTCGCAACCCGCAAACCCACGGCACCTCGCGCAACATGTACACCTCGTACGAGATCGTCTGCCGCACCAACATCCCCGCCTTCAAGCTCAAGCACTCGGTCGTGCGCCGCCGCTACTCCGACTTCGAGTACTTCCGCGACATCCTGGAGCGCGAGAGCACGCGCGTCACCATCCCCCCGCTGCCCGGCAAGGTGTTCACGAACCGGTTCAGCGACGACGTGATCGAGCACCGGCGCGAGGGGCTGCAGCGGTTCTTGCAGATCGTGGCCGGCCACCCGCTGCTGCAGACGGGGAGTAAGGTGCTGGCGAGTTTTGTGCAGGGTACGTACTTGTATTGCACTTTTGTTTCAGGGTGGTTGTGTGTTTGAAACGGATTGCTGATTTGGTGGCACGGGAACAGATCCGAACTGGGATCGGAATGCGTGGTAGGTTGGGGTGAATTGGGAGCGTTCTGTCGTGTGTTCTGGATGCTGTTGGGCATGAACTGTACCATGCAGCCGTCCTCCGCTCTCCCGACATACCCTCTCAGCCTGCTCCATCAATTCACCTTCCAGCTCACTCCGTCGATAGCCCTGCCTTTTCCCTCGACATTTATATACCTCGCCCTCCACCTGCGATATGCGACATTTGAAACCCCCTTTCTTCCCATCTAGTGTATCTTCCACCCCGTTTGGGACGTGCATCCCCTCTCCATGGCCGTGTCTTTCATCGCAGGGAGACCAAAACTCATCTCGCATCCCAGGTTTTGTTTTTGTTTGTGTGGATCCCCTGCATGTGTTGATTGTTCTATATGTATCTCAGCGACGACTTTTGTTTTTAGCTTATTTGATCCATCCATATCAGTTATCTACGCCGTGCAGATTGGGGTTGAATATGTAGCTGTTGGTGCAGTCTGATTGCGCTTGTCCCTGGCGCAGACAGGTACCTCAAACCCAGACAGCAGAATTACAACCACACCTCCCCACCGAAGACCAAAAACAAAACATCAATCAAAACCACCAACACAGCCCAACCCAACAGAACCCGCTCAATAGCCCCCTTCCCCCTCCTCCTTCTGCCTCTCTTCCATCTCCCCCTCAATCCTCCCCAATTGCACCACAATCCCCACCCCGGAACTACTCCCAATCCTCTCCGCCCCCGCCTCGACCATCCGCCTCCACTCCTCCGCCCCCCTCACCCCGCCACTAGCCTTAACCCTCGTCCCCGTCCCCAAACTCCCCGCAACCCACCGCATCACCCGTACATCCTCCACTCGGGCCCCGGGCCCATCGAACCCCGTACTCGTCTTGATATAGTCCGCGCCGGCCAAACAAGCCACCACACTCCCCGCCACCACCTCCTCCGTCCCCGACAGCCGCCCCGTCTCCAGGATCACCTTCAGCACCACCCCCGCTGGGATGGCCTCGCGCACCGCCCGGATGTCCTCGTACACGGCCGTGTACCTCCCCTCCTGTAAGAGCGGCCGGTTGAGCACCATGTCCAGCTCCGTCGCGCCGGCGGACACGGCGGATGCGGATTCGGTGGTTTTGGAGGCGGTCGGGTCCAGCCCGGACGGGAAGGCGATTACGCATGCTACCCCTACTCCTGTTCCTGGGTTTGTCGTTCCCTCTGCGGTATTGGTGCTGGTGTTGCTGCTGGAGAGGTTCTGCACGGCGCGGGCGACGTAGGGGAGACGCACGCAGACGGTGGCGAAGTCGTGGACCTGGGCTTCGGTGCAGAGGGTGTCGATTTGGGACGGGCTGGCGGTGGGCGAGAGTTGGGTGTGGTCGATTGTAAGGGAGGGGCGGGCGGGGACGGGGTATACTGGAAAAGTGGTGGGGGATGGGAGGTGTTGGATGGTTTGGGTGATGAGGGTTTTCCAGGCGGAGTCGGTTTGGGGGGGTTGGGGGGCCATGGTTTGGTATGGTGGTGGTTTGGTGGAGGAGTTTTGGTGGAGGGGTCTTGTGGTTGCTTGGTGGTGGTGGTGGTGAGGGTTGGTTTGACTGCGGCTTGTTAGTTTGATGCTGCGTAAGGAATGAGGAGAGTACTATACGGCTTCGACTGATGGGTCTGGCTGATGTTACGGTGTAAACAGTGGAATGGAACATACACGTACATATAGAAAGAGTGGAATTGCGGGGGCGGGGAGGGGGGGTTTATTGTTTGCGGAGAAATCTCCACGTGATGCGGTGTTGATATCAATATCAACATCAAACCGCCATCCCACCTGTCTACGGTCCAAATCCACAGTTCTACGCAAAATGAGGGGCAACACCATCCAGGATTTTACCTAAGCCAAGCACCAACCAGTGTAAAGAAAATGAATTTGTAGACCCTAATGCTATTACCAAACTCCCCAGCCACAAGACCCTCCCCCCCCCAATAAATCTCTCCTCTCGCGCCCAAAACACCCTCTATCCACAGCTCCTACACTCCGGACCACGAACATCATCCACTCGACCAATCTTCCGCGGCCCAAAGCCCCTCGGACCGCCCCCAGGACCGCCCCCACCCCCAGAACCACCGCTCCCACCGCCGCCAAAAAGTCCCCATCGCGACTTTGGCCCCGAGGGGTTACCCTTGCGATGGATGTTGAACTGCGAGTTCTGCGCCGCGGCGTAGGGATCGAGCTGTTTGCAAGTTTCGTTACTAGTTGGTCACAATGCCACAACACAGGACACAGAAGGTTGTAGAGTAGCGGAAGGGAGAAAGCGGCAACGCGCAGCCCTCACAACCACTACCACAAACCACACAAGACGCAACCATAACCAAGAGGAGGCATGACTCACCGAAAAAAAGCTCACAAGATACAGACCCAGGAACACATACACACTCTCGAAAAAGCGACTGACTCGGACGGAGAGTGGGGGGCTAGATGAGACGGAGGAGACGGACGGAGATTAGCATTGTACTTCAGGCTGACGGGCATGGAGATATCGTGGTGATTACCTTCCGAGGACGCGGCCGCCGGACACGTAGGTTCGGGGTTCGGGCGCCATGCCTTTGTATGTGGTCGTAGGCAAAGTGGGTATGTGAGGTTGATGAGGTGGAAAGAGAGGTGGTAGTAGTATGGCGTCAGATGAAGCTGCCATCATCGTTCCATTTCCCAGGGGAGAGGGACCTCGATTAGGTTTAGTGGAGATTATGCGGAAGTGGGGAGGGCTATTTATGGTTCTGCTGAGTCACTATCCACTGCGTAACTAACTTATGCCTCTTATGAAGGGTTACTGGAAGTATAGCGCAACCTAACTGGGAAATTGGTATCATCCTCAGCTCCCAGCTCTGAGTCCTACTATGTACCCTATATCATGCATCAAGGGCTGACAACAGAACTACATACATCCTCACAAGGACATGCTGAGTCCGGACTCACCGGACCCCCAATCAACCAGACTCGTCTCTTCCTCCGTCTGCGACTCCAAAACAGCCTCATCGCCCTTATTCAAGTCAACTTCCTCGCCCTTGACAACCCTATCTTCAGCAAGTCGTACCGCAGCAACACCAGCCAGTTCCCCGATAGACGACCCGCCCAGAAATCGGAGCATTGGAAGTTCAACCCCGACCTCCTTCACAAACCACTGCCGCAACCCAATGGCCATCAACGAGTCCACCCCCATCTCGCTCAGCACACTGCCAGGAGTCACGCACTCCTCATCGGGAAGACGCAGCCTCATACGAATCTCTTCGATGAAGCCCGCAGTAATAATATCTATTGCGTCTTCGATGCCATTGGCTACCTTCAACTGTACTTTCATCTCCACGTTGTCGTTACGGACACATGTTCCAGAGGGGCGTCCACTCTGATCAATGAAGCCCCATGCCCTTGGGTTCCGGAACCATACGGTGTCAGGACTTTTGACGACATTCACGAACTCGAATCCGGCGATAATATCTGCATTTCTGTCCGCTTCAACCCGTCCAGCAAGTATTGCCTCCGCCAGGAGTTCATGCAGATCATTTTCAGACAGTTGTGAGCTGCTACTTCCCATTGTTTTCTCAAGGATGTCATGCAGAGCAAGATCCGCTTGGGCAAGATAGCCCACTCCCTCGATGGATGCCGGGTGGATGATGCTTCCCACTCGATTCTGCTTGCGTCGCCGCTGGATAAGCGCAGACATGAAGTGGGTGGCTGCTGAGTAGGCCGCCTGGCCGATGTTGCCCATCGGTCCGGCGGCTGACCCAAAAAGGATGAAAAAGTCCAGGTCGAGGTGGCCAAATACCTCATCAAGAAGAAGACTTCCTTGCACCTTGGGGCTAAGTACTGATTGAAAATCTGAAAAGTTGGTATTGGCGAATATCCGGTCCTTGAGTATCATCGCGCCATTGATGACCCCCCCTACCGGTGGTAGCTGGGCAGAAAGAGTGTCGTATGCAGAAGTCACTGATACGCGACTTGTGACGTCCCTAGAATAACTGGTCAGTCGCTGTTTGCGAGAATGGTTATGACAACTGACATTGTGAGTGGAATTACGCGAGCCCCCAAACTCGCCATTTCCCCAATCCAAAGAGGATCAACCTTGGGGAATCTGCTGCTCATGACCACACACCGCGCACCTCGATGAATCATCCATCGACAGACCGATTGGCCCAGACTTCCAGTCATTCCAACAAGAAGGAACGTTCTATCTGGTGATAGTCTTACCGCCGAACTTGCTGTCTGAACTTCTACTGGGATTTGATCATGCGTAGTCCAATCCACAATTGCTTGACGAGAAAGATCTGTACGCATGCCGTGTATGTCACGAAGAGAAACCAAATCAATCGCTTCGTTGGCCTCCGTTGCCTGCAAAGCAAACCCATATCCGCTCAGGAATGTTTGACTCGCAGCAACTGGATTGCTGTGCCTCGTGATGCTCGAAGATCTCCGACATACGTTTGTCAGCTTAACTTCAGCAACATCATCTGAGACAACGGCTGCGATTCGAGAGAACAAGTCAGACTTGCTTTCTTCAAGTTGAGCAATGACAGACAGGTCAGAAGGCAGAATGCGCAAAAGAGAGCGTGTCGATTCATTGCTGTGAATGAACAACGAGTGCTTTTTCGATAAGACCGCAAAATCGCTAGTACTGAGATAGACTTGCATCTGTTGCGCAACACCCAGAGCCGTGAACGCTTCTTGTTTCAATCTGCTCATCGACTCAAGCCCATGAATCAGTACCGACGTATTAGGTATTCCGGAGCTCAGCACACCAATGGCCATGATTGCTGCAGCCATCCTATCCAGAAATGTGGGCTCCGCAGCTTCTGGGAGATGCTCCGGCATCTGGAAACAACAACTCAGAGGCACGGATATCAACGAAGCTTGCTGCGATGATAAGGCAAACCAACGTGTCTGGTCACTCGTATCGCGGCCTATCATCAAATAGAGGTATCCAGCACCTTCCAAATGATAAGCGTTCAATGTGGAATAGCTCACATCAAGACAGCGCCGATGAGAGGTATCTCGACACTCGTCACCCTTGCTGCCTACTCTCTCCGACAAAACGAATTCTCGACGCCGATTTGAAGGCGCAATGATCTGGACCACTGATTGACGCAAATCGGCATACCCATTCACTCTGCGCTGACCAGCTATGTACCGACTATTCATTGCGTCGCTAAGGTGAAATCGCGGAATTTGCAGTCTGCCATTGACGAGCCTTAGCTCCGGCTCAATGCTATGTACGCGATCTGACAGCGCGAAGTCATTGTCTTTAGTGGTATGAGACAGTCGCAAGAAGATCGTAGCTAATCCCGGTGCAGTAATCTCAGTTCGATCAGGAACATTCAGGTATTGGCAGAAGAGCTGCGGGTTCTCGTATGCAACGCAGTTTATGATGCCTTTGGCCATCGCCCAGTATGGATCCTGGCTCTCGTGTCCGGCAGTCACCCAGAGGAGCCTGCTGGCATGATTCATTAGCGCCTTAAGTCCACCCAGACGCTCCTCTGTAAAGTCTTTGCAACAAGAAAAATCGAGATCCGTCAAGACTAGGACATGTGATCTGGATAGGTCTTGCTGATCCAGCACCTCCAGTGTCGATGCAACGACCACACGAGAGAAAAAGCGAGCCAAAAGCGTCTCGAGCCCATATACAAGACTCGCAGTTGCGTTTGTTGCACCACCAACAATCCAAACATCGTTGTTAAGGCGGCCTGAGAACGTCCATGGGTTACGCTGAAGCATGGTTGCCTCATCGGTAGCTTGCGAGACAAATGTCGAATAAAACTCAAGTTCATTGGCAGGTGAGATTGCCTCGAAACCACCAAAACCAGTCTGCTGAAGCAGCTTCTCCCAATCCTGGATACTCAAAATTGGACACCACTGGCGAATGGCGCCGTCATCATGCCACCACTTTTCAGTGCCACAATGTGCCAGCATAACACGACTGATATCGAGGTTAGTTCCTTCCCGCACAACTAGATAACCACCAGGTTTGAGCAAGCGCCGGACATTCACCATAGCCTCACGAAGCCTCTGGGTTTGGGACAGAGCATTAACAGCGACGATTATATCATAGCTTTCATTCTCATAGCCTTGTTCAATCAAGTTCTCTTCAACATCGAGTTGTTGCAAGACCAGTTTGGTGTTATCATCGCCAGCGAACATCTCATATGTCTCCGAGAGCCGGGCTGCTGATGTGTCTGTAATGGTGTATGATTGGTAAGAGCTGCCAATTTTATTGAGCACGGATCTTGCTGTTGATCCACTTCCTGCATTGAGCTCTAGGATTTTCGCTTGAGGAAAGCGAAAGATCAGCTGCTCAACAAAGGTTGCAAGCTCCGAGCTGCCGGAGTTGCTCTCAAAAGGATCTAGATACAAACTTCTAGATTCGAAGTCATCATTGCCGTGACGGAGTGATTGAGGGGTAAAGGCTTCCTGCAGCATGCTGGATAAGTTCTCTCCAGCTATCCGTAAATTGTGCCAACCTGGGCTTGTGACATCCGCAATCTCTAGCACTTCGTCGGTGGTGGCATCCAACCACTCAGGCTGATAGATAGGATGAGTGCCATCACGAGTCATATGTAAGACCCTTTCCATCCATTTAATCACACTTTCATGATAAGAATCCATACACGCATAGCCCCGGGCTGTCAGCGTCTCCCAGGCGTTCTTTATGTAGAGTAGAGCACACTGCTCCGCGCAATTCAAGTTTGATTCGGTCTCTGGGTCTGCACCAGACTTTCTTGGCACATCATAAGGCCCAAGCGGTCCCCAGACGATCTCAGAAAAGATGTTGCGATCAGCAGGGACGGCGAGCGGAGCGACCTGAAAGCCTTCGATGAGAAAGACACCTTGACCCTCGCAATTGTAGGCTTGAATATCCGCCTTCGCTCCGTCGACTGTATCCTCAAGAAGAACAGTATCAACAATTAAATCTCTGCTTTCGTTCAACGATTCTGTTCGGCAGAGTGATGGGTTCATGATAATGCGCTCTATATGTACAGGCACACTTGGTGTCTGTAGCTTTACAGCAGCCAGCATACCATGAAGACTAGAGTCCATGACTGCTGGATGCAGAGTTGATGATGATGTATCATTGCAGGAGACGACGCCTGTCGACCCAGACGACTGGCGGGCAACAGCTTTGAGGCCTCGGAACGCACCACGGTAGTCCAAACCAAAATTCTCCAAGCCGGCATAGAAATTGTCGATGTCCAACGGTCTTGTGAATGGCGTTGGCATCCGTTGTGGAGGCAGCGCCATTGCGTCTGTTTCGCCCAGCGAGAGCGTGAATCTCCCCGAAGAGCAGACCTTCAAACTTCCTCCGATACTAGCATAACAGGTAAAGGTGCCCAGAATTTTATGATCCTTTATAGACTCCTGCTCGACCTTGAAGATGACTTCAACACCTTGGGGGCTATCTGGAATGTTAATGGCGCGCTTGATGTGCATTTCTTTGATCTCGAACAAGCGCAAACACTGTCCCCGAGTCATTATTAGAGCCGCCTCGAGCATCATGACAATATAGCCTGTGGCAGGAAAGATAGTCTGAGATTGTACTTTATGATCGTTCAACCA